GGGGGGGGGGGGAATTCCTTAATCAAATCCATTTTTAAATTTGGAGAGGCAATATCCTATCTCTCTGACCATGAGAGAGGCTTCTGGACCCTGCCAGGGGCAGTGTCTTGCATGTTTCTCAAAACACTGTTGCGCGTAGCTTCTACAGTATGCACATGATCAATGGTCTCACACCGTACACAGTTAAAATAGGGAACTGTGCACCGAATTATTTTATGAACTGTGCACCGAACCATTATCAAGGCTCGATGATCACCCCCCTCTCCCACCTATCAAATCTGACCGGATCCATCTCTGTCTAATATGGAAATTAGAAATAAAATGACGAGGAAAGCTATACTCGTTTTACACTCTGAACATTATTTACCTTAAAATTTGCTTTCTTATTTCTTCTGGAACCGAAACATCAGCATATCTTTCTGAGACCATTTTCTGCGCAGCCATGTGGAATAATCTCTGTTTTACGACAAGAAAGTAATAAAATTGGAACTATGAAAATTGGCCTTAATTTCAAATAGGTCGCGACAACTATCTACATGTAGGTCATTTAAAAGTGCCTCGTTCTTCAAGCACGCCTATCAAACGTGACAAAAATAGTATATTCACAAGATTTATAATTTTCTCAAAGTAATTATGTCATTTTTACCATTTGTACAATCGAAAAGCTTTTTATTTTATATTTGCATGCATTCATTTTTAGCTACTAACACGAATACAGAAATGTGTCTAAAGTCTTCAATAAGCGTTGTAAGCAAAAGATTTTCACGCTCAAAATTGTACAAATGAAGAAACCCTAAAATGAAGTTACACCAAGTCGCAAACGCCAAAATTCATATCACATTTGAAGGTAAATTCTACAAGTTTTCGACAGCTAAGTAGCTAATTCATGCTCAATTTAATGCGCAAATTTAATCCTAACTTCAAACAGCATGGTGGCCGATCGCTATATATCATTCATTTTTTTGTTAATATTTGAAATAAAACAAAATGTAAATGTCATTTAATTAAAATGTAATCTTTTTCAAAACAAAATTAAATTAAAAATTAACAATTATGAAAATCAAAATCAAAATGAATACAAAAATGAAAATAAGATCAAAATGACAATGAATTTAATTTTTATCGGCCTAGCGCTATCAAAATTATTTTTAAATGTAATAAATTTTAAAATACAAATCAAAATAATGTTTTTTAGCAGCGTGGAAAAATCTTAAAAAGCAAATGACGACTAAACGAGGTAACAAAAAGATAAGATAGTATAAAAGAAGAATCGATAACGGTCCAGCGATTGACTAAATGCTGAAGTCTCTGGTAAAGCGCAAAAGTACACAAGAGTTACTTGAAAGAAAGAAAAGGTTGAAAGAAAGAAAAGGTTGAAAGAAAGAAAAGGTTGAAAGAAAGAAAAGGTTGAAAGAAAGAAAAGGTTGAAAGAAAGAAAGAAAGAAAGAAAGAAAGAAAGAAAGAAAGAAAGAAAGAAAGAAAGAAAGAAAGAAAGAAAGAAAGGGGTGAAAGAAAGAAAAGGTTGAAAATGATTGCGAAACATTCTTTCTACAGCAGCGGCAAGGTCTGAAATATCATGCAGGCCGAGCCTCATTCATGACATCCCTTAAAGCTACGTTTACACGCTGCGATTAATCGTGTACGATTCGCTTTCTGACATATGTCATTGAGTGAACACGCGTAAGCTGGCTACATTTGAAATTTATTTTTAACGAAACAGCAATGAAATATGGCGCCATCACTAATTTTAATACGCCAGAATACGAATCATACACAATTCATCGTAGCGTGCAAACGTAGCCTAAGGTAGTGTTCCCTACCTGTGGTTGGTTGCTAGTAGTCTCCCTCCAAAACAATGAATGTGTGAAATTATTCATCATCCGAAAATGTTTTAACTTAAGTTGTAGAATCCCAGTCGGAAGCGCTCCTAATTCGTTTCCTTCAACGCTGAACTCACGTAATGACCTATGGAGGAAATGTTTCATGGAGTTAACAAGACTTGACAGGTCTCATTTGAATTTCGAACGTGGGAATACAGTGTATACTAGGTAGTATATCTGCAATGAGCTGCTGTGGTTTTGTTTGAATTACCTGAACAAGGAATATTAAAACACTTCGAAATATGTTTTGAATCTTTTTCAGGCAATCCAGTTACAACAAGTGTCAACCACAAGTGTCAACAGCACTCTTAAATAGACCTCATTTTGGAGGTGGCTAACAAAGGACTTCCAGGTTAAATTAACTAGGCAATAGGCTAAAATACTGACAAACCTTAGATTTCCAATTTCCTTTGGCAGAAACGACAATCTGTTATACGAGAGGTCCACAGTCTCAGATATCTCAGGCTAAATAGACTGATATTAAACACAAGCATTACATCGCTTTCTTGACTCCAACTAGTTTCAACTGTTTGCAAAAGTTCTCAGCACGAGAAAAGTGAGCTTACCTAACAGGGATACATGAAACTAAACAAAATGAAACAATCAATATCTGGAGCTGACGTAATTGGCCTATTTCTACAAAAGTAAAATAAAAAGGTTTATAAAAACATTTGCATGCAATAATTATTTGCAGCATTACTTTGATCACGCAGTCAGAGTTTATCCTCTCTAAGTTCTCAAACGATTGTGAATAATGCGAAACTCTGCAGACCAAAGATTCTAATACAGTCAGTATTACATTATTTTTGAGATGATCTATAAATGGCAATATAATAATTATTACAACTATACAATTTAAATAACCTTAAATTATTCGACTACTTATATTAATCTTGAATTGTCTTTGCCAGTGTATGTAGTGCCAATCAAATGAACGAGCTTTCGTTGGTGGGGATGCAACTATATTTCTCCTCATATATTTTCAGGTAGTTGCATCCCCACCAACGAAAGCTTGCATTCATATTTATATTAATCCTTACAATCCTATAATCCCACCCTACGCCAAAACCTAATAATCCTAACCCTACCCCTACTCCTAAATTAGGTCCTAATACTTACATATTGTAACCTACTGTATAATCATGCATAAACCTGGGAGTGTTTCTTTTGTAAATCTAGATTTCGATTTTTATAGGATTCGGATCTTTTGGATTCGTTAAACAAATGGAACGAATTGTGAAAATTGGAATTCGCTTGCCGTTTTCCCGCCATTTTACAATAACTTTTCTGTCCCACTATACCTTTCGGTCGAGTCAAGGTACATGCTAGAAGGCCAGAAGCACAAAAGGAACGTTGAATCCTAATCAAGTTTCAGATTGAATCCGAAAAATCCATATGTTGAGGTGGATTCATCAGATTCGAACCTATTTTAAGATTTTGTTAAATGAAACTGAAAATCGATAATCGCATTTGAAGATCCAAATCCGGATTGCACTAAAGGAACGCACCCCCTAATTTGCTAATCATAATCCTAAAATTATAATTCTAATCTTAATTCTAACGCCGACCCTGCCACTATAATCTCAATCCTTACCACATACTATAACATAAAACTGTGCACCATCAAAGACAATATTTTAAGACATGCAGGAAATCTCATCACAAAATCCGCACAACAGGCACGCAGACAAACTAAATGCATGCACCTACCAAGCAAATAGAAACTTACCTGGAGGAAGCTCTTTTATCGGATTATTTCGTAAATTTAAATTGACCAGATTTTTTATGGTTAGTATTTGAGAGGGAACAACCTAAGAAAACAAAGAAATGCATGATCATGAAACAGTAAAATACAGGTTAATATATACATTGATAATACATTTACTACCATACAGAATAGATATTTGAGTGACGTATTTGAGTGACGTGTTGTTGTGTTAAAAAAAATATTGATTTCATTCTTCATGTTTATTATGTTTTTTTCAATGGAAAATTATATTATATATCCAATTCACCATTCCTACTAGTACTTATACTATACGCACACTGCATTGCAAAAAATCCCTAAGTATACTTTGACTCAAAAACTACGGCTACAGACTCAATGATTCAAAATTGTGAGGAAAATTACTCAAATTTATGAGCAAATTTACTCCTTTTTGGAGTAAAGAAATCTTAACTCTTTTCGAGAAAAGTAAATCTTTACTAAAAAAATGGTAATGAGTAAAGTCTATTTTCCACTAAGCGAATTTTTTCACGCGAAGAGTAAAAAAGCAGGAACTGATCCAACTTTTCGCGGCAAATTTTTTCGGCGCTGACCAATCACATTACATGCCAAGATTTAATTGTTTTTCGCTTCGCTTCGGGCGAACAAATTCGCCTGGTGGAAAATGGGCTTTAATTTGAAACTTTACTCAAAAAATTTAGTAAATTTGCTCATAAATTTTAGTAATTTTACTCAAAATGTTGAATCACTGTGGGTTTATTATTTGAAGTTTTTGCCGAGTCAAAATACGCAAAGATTTTTTGCAGTGTTATGCGAATTATAGTGAATAGGATAAAAACTATTATTATTTATTGAAAATAATTCAAGAGTTTTGATTGGCTAAGAGCTGTCGGTGAAATCATCATTTCCGCTCGGTAGCTGCCCGATGTAGCTGACATCACCGTGGAATATTGAAAACAAATATACCACGTTTGACGTAATTTCGTGGTATGTTGAAAAACAATGTAACACGCTATGACGTTACGCCAATTTATGCGGCTTATGCCAAAAGCGGGAAAATACAAATGGCTTCCTCAAAAAATGGTGAAAATTTTATTTGTTTTACAAATAAATAATAAAACAATTATTGAATTCGGTTCTCGCAGGATATATGAGTATAAATTATTAAGGCCTCGGTTTGTGTCATCTGCCTCAGCCTTCGGCAGATAACACAAACCTCGGCCTTAATCCTCATATCCTACTCAACCTCATTCTATAATTGTTTAACATCATTCTCAAAATAATGTTCGGCTCTTCGGACCGTTACATAGTACGGGCAATTCAAGTTGCATATAGAAGCTACATATATTAATTATCATGTTTCTTTTATACTTTTGGTATTTTATCTATTTTAAACATTATTATACTGTATGTTTAACTAAAATTCATGAAAATTAAATCATTTCCAATACCTACCCGAAAATTATTGAACGATAAATTTACAACTGTGAGTTTCATACAAAGTGGTTCAATGTTGGGTAGATGAGCAATGAAGTGAGCCTATAATAACAAGAACAATGAACACGACGTACACACACTGGCATCGTAAAATATATTTATGTTGTTCACCAAATTTCTGCAGTTAATGAAATTAAAAGGATTCAACAAAGCTACCAATCAGAAACCTTTATTAAATCTTTTTCTCCGCAGTCTATTTATTTAATTACTATTGGTTTGTGCATTGATTATCACATACATGCGTTATAGTTACTACCTTTCTGCAGACTTTTGTTATTCTACATAAACAAAGAATTATTCCAATATGCTAAAAAATGTGACTTCTGACTATAAAGACCCCAAGGCCACAAAACTACCAATTGTCAGACTTTCCAGATTTTTAGGCTCAGCAGATCCGTAAACCAAGAAATATATAAAGTCTCAGACTGCATAGCCGAATTTCCAGACCCTGGAACGTCTATTGATATTCTTAAGCAACACCGGAACCCAATACTCAAGATTTCGCCTGCGTTACACCGATCAACATCCAATTGTGAAAGCATAAAAGATCACGATTTGGTGGATGCAGCGATATCTGCCCTTCGTACAACAGGGCCATGTATGGCATACCGTAATTTAAATTTACAAAAATATTGCAATATAAGTGCACGAACACTTCTGTTTCGCTGCAATTGACGAAAGTATGGCGTTTGTGAAAGTAGTCTTGTGTGCTGTTGTGTTTGTTGTGTCCTACAGAGAAACTCGAGGAGAAACTCTACATTACTGCATGTCAGACGTTGACTGTGAAGGATTAAATATGTGTTGTAATTTCGTATGTCTCGCCAACTGTATCAGCCAATCTTGTATAATTAACTCAGACTGCGGCGTAGAGAGCTACTGTTGTAATGACGTATGTCGGAAGAGCTGTGTGGGATATTTTTGTAACACTGATCTAGATTGTGGCGGTCCCAATGACTATTGTTGTGATTCTGCCTGTCAAACTGGAACCTGTACTTTGGCTGCTTGGGCTGTTGTTATAACCGTTCTAGCTGGTGTCGCGGTAATTGTCGGCATTGTCTCGTGTTACATTTATTCGTGTTACAAAAAGTCGCTAGGGCTTATTGCCACTACCCCAGGAAATGGTCCTGCATGTTGTTCAAATGTTAACTATGGTTCTTTTAACCATCAACCACAAGACCCACCACAACCGTACTACAACCAACCAACACATTTACAGAAGTAAAATATATATGTCACAAGACACAATATAAACAATTAACACATAGTCATAGCCAATAGTAGTTATATTAGTCAGTGGCAGTAGATTTCAGCTGTGGTTGTTTTGAGATTGATATGTTATAATATGATAAATAGAATATATTCGCTTATTTCCACCTCAACCATGCATGCCATACCGAAATTTAGCGTATAATTTTGTTTCCTGAGCGCTAGGAACTCTATACAGCACGTTACGATCTGGTTGAAATGGAAAACATGTTAAGGGATTCATGCAACGAATCATGTTTCGATATTGTAAGCAATCTGGTCAACAAGGCAGCATTCCTCTTGCGATAGTAACTTCTAGTTTATTCAATAATACCTTGAGGTCAAGCGTGGTATAACACCTCACAATGGTCTCTAAGATAATAAATTCTGCTGCTGTCAGCATAGTTTCGTGTTGATTATCGTCATTCCCTAGAAAATTAACTTGCAAGTAAGGTATGTTTCAGACGGAGAACTTGTAAATGACCAGGGGGCAGCTTAATCATGAGCTAACGAAAAACTTCAAACAATGTATCCAACAGCTTACTTATAAATTTGGAGATATTTTTCCAGGAATTATGTCTGGACAATAGAAATTTTATTTTTAAAAATTTCGAAACAAACGAACATGCAGAAATACAAAACCCTTTGAACAACCGGTCCCCGAGCTCTTTGTTTGAGATTATTTGCATTAATTAAGGCCTGATTCCACGATGAAACATGAAGTCATGAATGATTTTATTGAATTTTCCCACTTTTTTCGCTTTTTTTCTCGCAAAACCTAACGTATCTTTACTGCGCATGTGATCATTCATTTCGTGCAAAATGTTTCGAATTTCGTCAGGAAAAAGCGCTCGTGGAATCAGGCCTTTAGATGGTTCGCCGCGCATGAAATATTCTGGGTCTGAAACAGGCCAAAATGGAACAGGATTACCGAGCAAAGAAATCCAAATTCTATAATAATAATATGCAAATTATATAATGGACTGAACATTTGTCGCGAATATGATTCACAAAATTCACCTGCATCTCTCAAAATAATGATTTGGGATAGTTTGATTTCGAAAAGAATCAAAACTAAAAGAACATCCCAATCGGCAACGCTAGATCGGCAGGTGATAGAAAATGATTTTTCCAGGACTATTAATTAAGGACGTTTTTAAAATAAATTCAAGGGCTTAAAACTGGAAAAATCTGTGAAAATGGTATGGCCTGCATGCGTAGCAGCCGGGTTTTTTGTGGATGACTTGTGGGCGGGAAAATTAAGGCGGTAGAATGGGCGGGCGGGAGAAAACGGTGGCCTAAATACATCACTTCCGCTGCAGGTTGGGACTTTTCAGAATTTTCATGGCCCTTTACCTAATACGAAGGAATGCTTACGACCTTTTACCTAACACAAAGGAATATACTCATGTCGAGCCTTTACCAAATACGAAGGAATGCTTATGGCCCTTTACCTTTAACACTTATAGGCTCCATTCACACGGGACCAAATGAATTCGAAACCGCGTGCTCACATTTGCACGATTTATTGCCTTTCAAGTTCGCATGGGACGTGTCAAACCGGGTAAATTCGAGCACAGGTAACGGTACGAATCCCCTATATGAACAAATGGAATCAGACAATTTGCGTGCGGCTCCGAATTCGTCCGGTCTCGTTTCAACATAATTGCAGTAAAACACAAGATGTCCAGGGCTATGAGTATTCATTTGTATTAGGTAAAAGACCATAAATATACCTTCGTATTAGGTAAAGGGCCATAAGTATTCATTCGTATTAGGTAAAGGGCCATAAATATTTCTTCGTATTAGGCAGGGCCATAAGTATTCATTCGTATTAGGTAAAGGGCCATAAGTATTCCTTCGTGTTAGGTAAAGGTCCATAAATATTCGTTTGTTTTTAGGTACAGGGACATAAGTATTCCTTCGTGATAGGTAAAGGGCCATGCATAAATATTCCTTAATGCGTTTCATGATCGTCACTGGATTATATAACCGGATGGTTTTCTTTGTCTTACTAATGTCTCATGCGCCAACAGAAAGTGATAGTTGGTATCTCGAAACTTACGAAATGGTGATGAACAACGTGCTGTTCCTTGAAAAAACGCGGTTGGAGATCTGGAGAGAAGTACTTCACTTTGTGGCCAACTTTCTCTAAAAATGAAATGAATAGTTTCTTCTAAGAACTACACTCGTATATGTCATCATATTTCGCCAAATATCTGTCATGCTCTCATTTTAGATAGAAAGGTAACTTGTTTATTTCTTATTGACAATTAAGATTGTTCTCAATCCAAATGTAAAGCACAGCGTATAATTCTTTGTTTCGTGAAAATTCGTTCAAGTCGTTCACAACTATATGTTTTAATGTCAATGCCAAAATATAACAACAGAAAATACGAAACAAATGAACCAATATACTACAAAACGTAACAAATTCTTTCTCATCTATATATGTAATGTATTTCAAATACTTTCCGCGACTGACTACTTTTCAGTCAGACATTCCATTGTCTATTGCGACTACCTATCGGTTCCTGCAGGTTTAAGTTATATATATATGATCACTATTCCCTACCTCTTCAAATCGAACGTTGCGTGTTCTTGTCTCTGGTCTAGATGTCTGTTTAAAATATGCGCAATATCAGGAGCACCGCGCGCATCAAGTGAGGACAGTTCACTCAATTCTCGCAGAGTATCAGCCATAGTTCCAACATCTTTAGGTAGATCAGGGCCAGGTTCACGTTGAAACCATGCTGGGGGTTGACTGCTGGTGACATCAACTTCTTCTAAGACTTCTGTGATTCTTTTGTCAAGATCTGTCTCTTCACATGTCAATATAACTGCCGCCAATTCTACATATTAAAAAGTACAATATTTGTTAATACTATTGATGGCTGCTAATTCTATACTGAAAGAAAGTGCAATCATATGTAGGAGTTACCACACAGTGTCCAGGACTTATCATCGCACGTCACCTTCGCTATAGAGCCTCGTTTTCATGATCGAGACGTTGCCCTTTAACCAGGGGCGTTGGAAGCTAGTAAAAATAAGGGGGGAGGGGGGCGACTCTCACGAGGCGCCACCATGGTTGACGCCGAGCGGGTAAAATTTTGAAAATTTGGAGTCTCCAGATCGTCGGAAATGGCATTTTTAGGTCTTTATATTCTGTCATTATGATTTGCAAGCTTTAAATATGTTTACTTTATGGTTTGCGACTGCGTTAGATGATAACTATTTGAGCAAGTAAATACCGCTGCCGAACAAGCGGCATAGACTAAAAACATCCAATGACAAAAGAATAAAACCCAACAAATATTGATAGACAAAAAATGCTATTAAAATAACAATAAACAATTGCAGATATATTATTAATATGATATATACGGTTCCAAATACTTCCAGTTTCGAGAATTTCGCAGTAATTTTTTTCTTATTTTTTTTAACTGATCCAATAATTTTTTGGGGGCCGAAAGCTATCCCGCCCCCCCCCCTCTTATAAAATATTGGGTAGGCGCGGCCCCCCGGGCCCCCTGCTTCCTACGCCCCTGCCTTTAACTAATGTCACATATACGAAAACGAGGCTCTATATCCAAAGTAACGTGCTTGCCAGAAGGGTGTATTGAAGTGCACATCCATTTATTACGTTGGCTAAATAGAATTATTTAGCGTAAGACATTCAAGCCGACAGACACGCCAACGCAAGCAGAGATTCGAAAGAATATTATAATATGCTTCCTCTGACAACTTTTTCAAATTTCAATGGTCATAACTAAGATAATTCAATCTGGGTTTGGATGGATACAGCTTTTTACCAAATTTAACTGGTAGCCAATATTGCATGCACTCTGCTGTTAAATTACATTAAATAATCATCAATAGTATTGTTTACATAAACCAAACACATCATGATATAAAAGTTATAATATTTCTTTATCACATATTTGGACGACAATCAAAGAGATAATAGTGAACGGAAATACAGTAACTGGTAACAAAAAGATCTCAAACGAATTTAATGTCGAATAGTGTTCTACAATTATAGGCCCCAAAACGGCAAATAATACTATTTCCAATGCTTTAGATCCACTCCATTTCCTGACCAAAGTATTTAGATTTGAAAGCAAAATTTATGTTTGGAGCGTGTTGTTTCCATTCGCTCGTGTCAGTGACTATCGTATCTGATCTCTCTGGATCATCTCTCGATTAAATACTAGTGTTCTTGCAAATTAAAAGCAATACAAATAAAATGTATGTTTTTGTTTATTTCTTCAAAGTTTCGTCAAGGCCACAAGCGTTTATGCGAAGGATCGGAGAAAGTAATCGTCTTTCAAGGTGTTACAGGCGCTTTTTTTTAAACTAGAAATAGTTTTCACTAAAACTGCCCCCGGCTGCTTATGGTGTACTAACTAGCTGTTATTAAAAATAATCATACCTTATGGTTTACAAATATTAATACGACAAAACGTTATTACTACTTTCTGGATTCATAAAATTGGACGAACTTTAAAAGTGAAACAGTAACCACGTGTAACTTGATCCTTGTGCGTCTCCGGCTGAAGGAATGGCGCTTTTCAAGTTTCTTTTCAATATAATGGAACAATGACTATGAGTCCCTTGTTAGTTGTTACAAACGTTTTATAATGTGACCTTGTGTGTTAAGCTTTGCTCGATTTTTTATATTTGTATTTGACTGATGTGTGAACCAAATCTTTTGGTTCCTGTTTTGATTAATGTGTCTGAAAAATCGTGTAGTTGATAGCTACTTGATAGAATCTAATTAATTACACATATTTTTACACATATTTATTTCCAGTTACAGATATATTTACATGAATTTTCACTAGCCGCAAGTAGCCAAGCTAATCGGGGCGGGTAGTGATATAATGTAATTATGAGAGGGGGATAATTATAGAAATGACTGAATTACAAGATAAAGAACTTAA